TCTTAACTCTCTTCTTTCTTCCTACGCATGGAAAAAAAACTATGCAAGGGTCACGGTGTGGTTTAATGATACATAAATTTTTTTATTTTATTTACGATTTCTTTGTTTTTTTTTTCCTTTCCTTTCCTCAGAATCGAGGAAATCATTCATTGAGAGAACAAAAACCTCTGAAATACGTATAGCAATTACAAGTAAGTATGTACAATAATATAAGTGGTTGCCTTTCTTTTTTATTTATTTATTTTGTAATTATTTTTATTTTTTTTTTTTAATTTTTATTTTTACTTTTATCTCATTTCTTCCTCCCTTCTCTCTTTCATCCTTGATGCTGTCAGGTTTATTCCTACTTTCGTTCTGTTAATGGTAATTTATAATGATAATCAATTAATTAATACAATAATCATAATCATAAGCATAAAGACGTACTCAATTGTATCAATAACGTGTTTTCTGTTCTTTTTTTCTCTCTCCCTCTCTTACTGTCTTTCTCTCTCTCTCTCTCTCTCTCTCCTTCTCTCTCTCTCTATTTTTTTTTCATACAACCATCTAACAATGGAGGTACGATCATAGGCGTATCAATCGATCGAGTCATGACAATATTGACGAATTGACAGTGCGTGCCTTTTAACCTTTCTTCTTTCGCTCGTCTTTCTTATCTCTCTCTCTCTCTCTCTTTTACACACATACTCTCATTCGTTTTCTTTTTCTCACACACGTTCTCTCTCTCTCTCTCTTTTCTTATCTCACTTTCTCGACTTTGACAATGATGTTTTATCCGACAAGAACATTTTATTTTATATTCTGTCCTTTGTATAGTAATTTTTTTTGCACTCTTCCCCCGCCCTTCTCTCACTCTCTCTCTCTTTCTCTCTCTCTCTCTCTCTTTCTCTCGTATTCTCGCTTTATTAATCGTGCAGAAAACTTTAAGCTCACTCCGTATCAACATAGCTAAAAATTTCCTCGCACTTGTCCCCCCTCTCTTTCTTTCTCACAAATGTTTCCACCCTTTTTCACTCACACTTTCTATATAATCTCCCTTAAATATTACACAATAATATTATAGTCCTAACTTTCTCTCGTGTTCGATTATACTATTACTCTCTCTCTCTCTCTCTCTCTCTCTCTCTCTCTCTCTCTCTCTCTAATACACGCATAATTTCATAAACCTCGTTTCCACACTCTTATTCTCTCTCATTCTCCCTCTTCCCTAATCTTCCTTTCTCTCACACACATACTAGATTCAATGAATCTCTCGTAATAGCGGCAAATCCGGACGTTAATACGAGCTTGAAAATTGGCTTACATACTTACAAAACTTCTCTCTCTCTCTCTCTCTCTCTCTCTTTCTTTCTTCCCCACTCTCTAGTTTCTCATTCGTTTATTTGTCACTCCTTTTTCTCATTTCGTTTCTAGTTTTTTAATCCACTAATCACATTTCTACCGTTGATTAAATGCTCTTAGTGTCAGGAGAGCCCGATGTTGGTATTGGTTGCCGATGATGATGATGGTAGTAGTGGTGGTAACGGTGATAGTCCTTGGCGAGCGCGTATAATTTCTAATCGTGTATTTCGTTCCTTCGTTCGTCGTATATCGTCGATAAAAAAAAAGAAACAGAATATCTCTTATACGCTATTTTTTATTTTATTATTTTTTTTTTGTCGACCATATAACATACATTCTCTCTCTCTCTCTCTCTCTCTCTCTCTCTTTTTATCTCTCTCTCTCTCAATTTTTCTCTTATTCGCTTATTCCTTATTTTATTAACTATCATCATGGATACATAAGAATTTGAATATTTTACGAGCTCGCCTAAGTGCTCGAGGATCGTCCTTCTTTCTTCTCGTTCCTCTTTCATCTTCGTTGTTACGATCTTAAGAAGAAAAAGAAGAAGAAGGATATTCGCTTCGTACTCTCGTAGTTGGAGTTTTCGACGAGTGTTTGAGATAGAAGAAAATCACGAAGTAAAGATGGCTGGATGGGAGGGATTATGCGAGTTTAGGATATTATCGAGTATGCAACCTTGCAACAGCTTTACGTGGCTTAACAACGACCGAGAAAAGGACCGCACTTTTACTCTGAAGGAGTATCGCCATGCTAGCCGTCACCTAGCTGAAAATAATCCAACCCTTCACATCTAACCCTTTCTTCTTTCGCATAACTATATTATACTTTAAAGATAATCCTTCTTTTTCTTTTCTTACGTATCTCTTTGCATTAATAAATTTAACTACAAAAAGGAACACTTAAATACAACACAATTTAATTGAATTAATTCGATTAATCGTTTATTTCGTCCAAAGTTTTTTTTACAAATGGACGATCCTCGATCCAAAATGGTGGTTTAATCGCAAAGATGGTGCACTATCCACGTTACTTCGAATGAAAGACATTCGAAAAGTTTTTGTTTTATCCCTTGTTTTTCCGCAACCAGACCACATTACTCGCTCGTTCGCTCGTTCACACGAACACACACACACATACACACATTTTTATTTATTTTTTTTTTTCGTTAAATAGTAATCATCTAAACAATGAAAGCAGCAAAATGTTCTCGAGGAAAAAGATGTCCCTGAGTGCGACGGAGGGCGACGTGGTGAAAATGTACTTACACATACGGCGAGCTGGGAACTCCCGATAGTTCTTTCCTTCCTTTTATTTCTTAACCGTTATCTTTTCCTCCTCATCTTCTCCTCTTTTTTCTATATCACTCTCATTTTTATCCTACATCTTTATCCTATCCTATCTATATCATCAATTTTTTTCTTCCTCTCTTTATTTCATTCTCAGCAGGAGAAAAAGTTTTGTCGCCCTTCGTCGTCTTCCACGTTCCCCTACACTCGCCCTTTTGTTGTTTTATTTTTATTGTTGTTGTTGTTTTTATTCTTTCTTTTCTCTTATTTCTTTTTTTATTTAAGACTTTCATAAAACACCCGCGCAGGATGCAACGCGGGTTACGCGCGCGCTTACCCAGGTGCGATTTAAAAAAAAAACGACCTTTCTTCCTTTCATTTTTTTTTTTTAGTGTCTTTTCTTCATTCTTTATTTCTTTCTTTTTTTTTAAAAAGGTTCGTTTTATCATCTAATTACATATACTTAATTTTCTTTTCCTTTTCTCTGCATGCATCATTTTATTCATTTCTCTTGAAAAATATCAACATCCCTCCTACCAGGGAAAATATCGTCCACGGAGAAAGAAAGGGGTTCTCCTCGCGAGAGAAACAGGGGGATCATCACAATAAGAGGGAGGGGGTGGGAGGGTGGCGATGGTGGCGGATGAGAGAGTACGCTGGACGGCAGCGAAGTAGCTCTCTGGTAGCTCCTGCGCGGGGGCTCTCGTAAAAAGAGGGACGTTTCTTCTTTCTAAATTTGCATCTTCCTTCCTCCTTTATTTTTCTTTATCTTCTTCTTTTTATTCCACTTATCATCATCATTATTATTATTATTATTATTATTATTATTATTATTATTATTATTACTATTATTATTATTATTAATATTATTATTATTTTTTCCTTTTTTCTTTCTTTTTTTTATCCTTTTTTTTGCTTTAATCATTTTGTGAAATTGCTTCAACTAAATTTCTATATCCTTTAAATCCTTCTTACAAGTTATGGTAGTAGTAGTAGTAGTAATAGTAGTAGTAGTAGTATTAGTAGTAGTAATAGTAGTAGTAGTAGTAATAGTAGTAGTAGTAGTAGTAGTAGTAATAGTAGTAGTAGTAGTTGTAGTAGTAGTAGTAGTAATAGCAGCAGTAATATAGTAGTAGTAGTAGTATAGTAGTAGTGCTAATAGTAGGTTCTCATTTTTTTTATTCCTTTTTTTATGTTTAAGCATTTTTTTGTTTGTTTGTTATATTCTTTAGTTTCTGGTTTTGATAATCTAATAGACATCTAAAAATAACACTCATTTTTTTCATTATTATTTCATATTTGTATTTTTCTTTTTATCAATGTGTTCCTTTTTTTTTCTTTAATCCCTCTCTCCTCTTTCACTCTTTTTATTTCTTCTTCCTCCTCTTATCTCTCGGTCACATGTGTGTATTACTTAAAGATTTCCTTAAACATTAGATCGAGGGTTGCGCGGCTATGTGTTACTACTGTGAGCTCAAGAACCTCTTCAGAAGTAGAAGAAGCGAAATGGGATATACTATATATATATATATATATATA